AGTACATCTCTTTCCACGTTTTGTATAACGTTTCGTACAGCCTCTGATGCGTTATTTTAGACCTCAAGATGTTGTAAGGAAGTAAAAAGCAGGCATATTTGGCACCACCGAGAAATGAAAATACAAACCAATATAAAATTGATTATAAATAAGGATAGTTAATGTACAACATTTCAAAATTCCTATTCAAATTGTTTTTATTTTTGTGCCAATTCTATTCCATGCTACGGCAGCATGATAAAAATCTGATTTAATCTCAATGATTACTCCACAGTATTTGTTGATTTTGAAATAGTAGGATGCTCAGAAATAAGAAAAAACTAGGTTTAAAATAAAATAAAAATACCTAAATACTTGTTTCCATTATTCCTCTGAATTTTAAACTGCCAAAGTGACTTACTTAACAACTCTGTAGGAACAACATTTTAATTTTTGTATATATAAAATAATTGGATAATTGTCACCTACTATTTTTTTAATTTCCACAAAACAACTATAGGATATTTTTTCCTATGATGCAGGAGACAGTAATACAGAGTTATTGCAATACGCCACTACTTGTAAACTGGATCCGTAAGGTAACAATTCAGGCTGCAAAATATTTGTCTAGTTCCTTGGCTTTGACTAATGTCATAATGGTGTACAGCATCATCCAGTCTGATCTGACTATTCAAAACTCTGAGGTTCCACATAGAAGGACTATCTTCCCAGCAGAAAGCACTTGGAAAGCTGGATAGATGTGTCTGAACAGAGTAGTATTGTTTCAATCTTAACTGTTGCTTACTTTTTCAAGACAGCTGAAAATTCAGTTAAGTCATTAGGGGAAAATAGGGGGTTCCTGTAGTAGTCTGGTAAAACACGTTGCAATCAATCCTTTTGTGTATTAACTTCTTCTAATGTCTTAGGAAGTGATTCACCTAATTTTTCTGAGGTGGCTTCTGTACTGCCTTTGGAGATAGGTTATTAACAAAATAGTAGTTTTGGCACATGCAATATTTAAACAAAGATTCCTGGAATTAGCAAAAAACTTCCAGTAAACAAAGACTGAACTCTCAAAAGTTCAAATGATACCTAAATAAACATGACTAATCTTCAGAGATTACATTATTTACTTTTTATTTTCAGTTACATTTGTAGTAGTGTTTAAAATCACACTCCTGTTCTCCATACGTTTGTAATAAATTTGTTGAGATCTGCCTTTTCTTTAGCAGACCCATTGTTTTGGGGTTTTTTTTAGCAATACTAAATCTGTTCTCCATTAAACCAGTTTTGCTACAACTACTCACTTAAATCCACTGTGAAATGACAGCCTTGCTGAAATCACAGAGAACTAAAATTGATATAGAAAGGTGCTGAATTGGGCCCTATGTTTTAATTAGATCTTGTGTGAGTATTTATTACTACAGTGGTTTGTTTTCTCCACAAGTACAAGGTGGTGTGAGCATTTGAATATTCCTTTGCTAATTGAAATCATTATGTTTGTCCAGGGATAACCAAGTATGTTAGGTTTTCTTCATGGTATGAAAGGGGAGGAGGGAAGAAAAAAGAACAAGTAGCTCCAAATACCAACATAAAATATCAAAACAGCCAAGAGATGAAGTGTGTGTTACGGCATATTTAACTACGTCAGGAAATAGGATAAAGCAGAACAAGAATATATGCTGGCTGTGTTGGTACATGCAGTATTTATGCATCTTTTAAAAATAATGCTTAACATTTAGCAACTTCCAAGGCAAATAAAAAGATGCTGAAACAATTATTTGTATACAGAATCAGGTTGCAGTAAAAGATGTCAATAAGTCATGGAGAATGGAGAAACTAAGCCACGTGGACTTGGCTTCATGGCCAATCATTAATTTTCCACAGGACACTCCAAGGAACAGTCAGGCTGCCCAGATAGATAGGAACATACTATAGATACTGATTAACCTTTCTTCAAGTGTACTAGTAGTGAGATTGAAGTGTAATATTCATGGGGGAGAAGTTAATGAGGTAATATTTCAATTGCCAATTAGATTCCTACAAAGCTATCACCTGAAAGTCAGTTTTTCTGCAATTTTATGATCTCTAGTTCAAGTGAAAATAAAGACTAGAGCAACAAAACACCTAGTAAAATTAAGACTTAGACACCTAATCTTGGGTTTATCGTTCCTTTGTTTTCAGGGTTTGGGCTTGATGTAAAATTTGGTAGAATGGCAGATGAGGTGTAAGTAAGTTTGAGAAAAGAAGTTAATTTTCTTTCTACAAAGAGCTGAACTTCTTCAATGAAGAAGACATAGCCCCCATGTACCTTTGACTTTAATAGTAGTACTAAATGCAAGAAGCTCTGGGTCATACCTACTGAGTTCAATGAAAGCTTGAATCCACAACATTTATTAGGTACAACATGATTTTTATGGCATCAAAGCACAGGACCGTGCAGGAATACACTTCATAAGATGAAATCTTTGTGAACAGTCTCATTAAATTAAATGAGAATTTTGCTGTTAACTTAGAAAAGACTGGAAGGATTCATGATATATCCAAAACATGTTATTTTCAGTTAGGCTAAAGTACAACTGGGTAAGCTGGCTAGGGAAAACTCATAAAGAATAACATTAATAAAGAAAATGTCTCCCTCATCAAGACTTGAGTTTTCCTACCAGTTAAGTTTTTAAAGAATTTTTTTTAAAAGATTTTACAGTAATAGAAGAAAGTGAAGAAATGCCTCTCTCATTCCTTGAAAATGTCAATCACCTGGGGTTAAATATGTACCAGAATTCTTACATTTTAATCCATCACATCAGGTGGTGGAAGTACAAAGGGTAAAACTGACCCTTTTGCTTTCACACACACCAAGCAATTTCACAGGCACCAGCATCAGAGAAAATACATTTCTACTAATGACAGGATTATCCATTATCAACACAAACCCATCTACATACATTCAATACAACTAGTGGAGTGGTGTAATAGTCCTAACTGTTATGTGGGACAGCCATATCACTGGCTCTGCATAGCTGCTACTTTGCTAGCCTGTATGGTTACGCATTTTATAGACGGACCTGCATAAAACAACGATCGAGAAGAAAAAGCACCAGGGCGGTCAGGAATAATAACCAAGAAATTAAAATCTATCACAATATGTTTTTTAAGATTTCGTATAAATTATGGGAATAATGATATTGAAATAGGCATACTTGGATGCCTCTGCAATATATTCCATTCTTTCAAATGAACACTAGAAAAGGAGCTAGCTGAAAAGCATCCATAGCTGACACTAAAAGTGTTCTTCATTGACGTATTTCCAAATAGTCCCTCTGTTAATATTTTCAAAGCCAAAAATGTAATTATGCTTTAAAAATATATTAAAAAAAAACCTGGGGATATAGTGACATTATAGAAGATCTAAATTACAACTCCAGTGAAAAAATGTGGGACAAATTGGGTAGGAATAGAGAAGTTTCAGTTCTGACTGAAGGCTGAAACTTATGCAAACAACAGCAAAAAAAACCTTTTTAGAACATTCTGAGATGTGTGAAAACTACAAATGCTAGAACTGTGAAAAGGAAACTGGGAATTTGATACATATGTTATGGAAATGCCACTGCCCACTGCTAAATTATTTTTGGAGAACAGAACACAGAACAGCAGAACAACTGCTAAAGCTGTTATAAACACAGGATCTCCCTGGCAATGAAAAAAAATCTCACCATGGCAGATATTAATGACTATTACCATCTGGATATATATATATGAAGAAACCATCTTTGGTATGTTCTAGAATACTTACTAAGAAATGTGGTATTGTTTATCAATCACCTCTCTGATTGTCTGAGGAGGAATCATTCGCCTAACTCCAAGGAAAACAGAACCACTATTCAGGGTGGTTCACGCATTGAGAGATTTTCTTCATATAGGTGAATACAGCTTAAAAGCTCAACTGATCTATAGTGATTCTACTGTCTTAGAGAAGATCATATTTTAAATTTGGGAAGCACTTTATCATAGTATATTTTTTCGAAGTAAAATACTTTATTAAAATACAAACAAAAAATTAAAAGTAATAAGACCCGGGGACAGATTCTGCAACTGCTTCTCAGAACCAAAAGGACATTAAGTTACATGAATCATACTGATTTCAAGCACAATTATTACCAAGTATTGTTTAATGAAAATCACTTTAGACTCAAAAAAAAAAATTTTTGTTTATTCAGTTGCAGAAAGGAAAAAAGACATGCTCCCATTTACTTGTTCACCGGAATATATAACTGGCAGGGCTTCTTACGTCATTCCTTCTTCTGCTCTTAGAGACAACAATGCCTTATATTTCTGTTCTGTAAATGTAGCAAGCAGCATCTTTATACCAGTTGGTTTCTTCCCCCTTCTACCTGAAAGCTGACCTTGGGCACTTATTCCTCTGGCAACTGGATACCCTGCAAGTCTCATATTCAGTTTATTCTAAACAGTTAGTGCCCGTTTGTTCAAACATTATCCTTCTAGCGTGCAGCACTTACTCTCGTACCTAGTTTATGCTTGTAGCTCTTGCTACACAAAGGGATATAGACCAACATAAAGAATGGCAGATTTAAGGAAAATATTATATACAGTTTCTTGGTCATACCAGCAAACTCCCCCCAAATATGTTAAATTTCTGAACAGTGGCAACTCTACACCATCTGTTTTGTTCTGGTTTAGAAAGAAATGGCATCAGTTCATAGTGTTCTACATATCACCTCTTACTCACAATAACCTCTAAGCAAAACCTAGCAACATAGTGGTGACTGTCATATTGAAATAATGAAAAAATGAATTTTTTTTTTTAATCATAAATGACATTTTAAAATTATACTAATGACATTTTTGGCTTAATACTGATTCTTTCTCTTGAGAGAAATGCTAACTGATTTATGCATTCTAAAATAAATAATTCTCTGCACACATAACATAGTCATCAAACTTTAATTGACCCTAAGTACAGTTTTTATTCTTCATATCTTTATTCATTCTTTTCTACATAGTATTTGTGGAATTCAGCATCTGGAACGAGCAGGAAACAAGCTGACTCTCTTTGACTCCCTTTATTTCTGCATAGTGACATTTTCCACTGTGGGCTTTGGGGATGTTACACCCAAGATATGGCCTTCAAAGCTGCTTGTTGTCATTATGATCTGTGTTGCTCTTGTGGTGTTGCCCATACAGGTAAATATGTTTTTTTTTTCTCTTTAGAATTGTTTTTAGAACGAAATAATAATTGAAATAATTTACTGTTATCATTACTATAGCATATAAAATGTCAGAAGGGATAGCATCTTCTATACCTCCTATTCTGTGCACACAAAACTGAAATTTTCTTTTTTTTCCCCTTCCGTTTCCCTCTGTTGATCCTCTTATAGTTTAGATTTATAATAAAAAAAAAAAAAAAAAAAAAGGAGCACAAACAACAGTTTTCAAATGCTGGTGAAAGATTCTAGTTCCTGTCATGTACCACAGAGCCCTTCTCTTCATCCTAAGATTTGGGTTTGTTATTAATGGAGCAATTTCAAAACAAACAGTAGCCAGCACTTTCTGTATGAGTACAGCATTTCCTCTCCAGGCTGTCCCGGGTTCTAATCTTGGTTCTCTCCACTTCCTCTCTTATTCTTACAGCCCAATGTTAACTTGAAAAAAATCTTATTAAATTTTTATTCCTACATAGATTTAGAACTTCTAACAGTTTCAAGGGGAAAAGGCTGATTTATCAGAATCCAACTATTTAATGGAATAACTATCAGTTTCATTAAACTTGCACCAAACACCTGTCTGACTGTTCACTAACAGAAACCCTGGGGCTTCCAAGGCCCCCCTGCCAAGACGTTGACTGTCCCATTCTTAGTGATCACAAATGACCCAGACCTCCTGCCAAAACAGAGGAATGCAGGAAGACGTTGTGCAAAGCTATCAAAAACTTGCAGTAGCCCTGCTAGTGTGTGAAGTTTCTCACACGGCTGTGGTTTCTAAACTCTTTGACAGTGAACTAAACCTCACTGTAAGCACAGCACCGAAACCCTTGGAGGTTTGGAGCTTGGGCTGTCAGCATTAATTTCCTTGAAATTACTTGAACATTTTATCTAAATATTTAATGTCTGCGTACACAAACATATGCACTAACACAATTATATTCCCACTCAGTGCAGTGGAAATTTAGTAAAATATACATTCTGTTGAAAAATAAAATATATTTTAAGAAATTTGAAAGTTTCTTAAACCTCCCAAGAAATAGAGATTTCAACTTTCAAGAAATTCTAATATACCCTTCACGGATCTGATACCAGGATGGTAAAACATAAGATCTCCTCATTACCAGTTAACGACCTGGAATTTACTCCCTTTTCACACCAGTTTACTATGATTAGCTATTTACCTTATAGTCTTGTAGTGATAAAGGGGCTTCATATAGTGTTCCACATAGATTGTGGGAAGCATTCTCTCCTGCTATGATATGAAACCAATTACTACTCATGATTCTGTCTCTTCAGAAGACATCCCCAGTGGGGATGAGAAAAAACAGCTATCACAAAGGCAGATAGTTAAATTAAGCTCAGTATTAACGGCATATAACTTCCAAGAAACTTTGAAATGGTATTTATGTTTTATTAATACTACAGATTGTTTAAATATTCTCTTTTGTCTGAAGAATTCAGTCTACTAAAGCAATGCTCTTACATACTTAACAGTTCTGATTTATATTTGCCAACATATTCCACACTAGATTTCCCATTGGTAAGAGCACAAAAATAGATTTCACTGTTAGCCTGCATATATTGTTCAGCTGGTAAAGACAAAATAGCTCTAATAAGAGCTGCCATGTATTTAGGTGGTGTCTATGTTTGTAAAACAGGTAAGAGGGAGTATACAGATTTGATGGTAATGTATGGATGTTGTCACCTCCAGAATATTACAAAATCTGTGAAGAAAGTCATTGCCCAAACTATAAATAAAATGGTGCCTTTATCAGAATATCTATGCTCACAGTGACCTGAATATATGACAGTTTAGGCCACATGGCACTGGAAAAAGTGCTCAGAAATGCGAAATACAGAAAGCAAGTAAAGTACAGCCTTTATTCTGTTTCTAAAATCTTGTAATTTTTAGTGTCATCTCACATTTTAATGCCCTCCCACCCTACTACTTCTGAGTGCTAGAGAACAGCCAGTTAGTCAGCCTTCCCATCATTGATCTCAGCCACTTACTAGCAAATTTTTCACAAAGACAAAAGACAAAGTGCTCCTGATAAGACATGCAGGAGCAAAATGTGGACATGGGCTGAACAATGCGACACTGTTAAGTATGATCCAGTTGTATCGCACATCTGCTTGTCTATATTTCACTGATGTTTGGCATCTATTGCAGTTTGAACAGCTGGCCTATTTGTGGATGGAGAGGCAAAAGTCTGGTGGTAATTACAGTCGACACAGAGCTCAGACGGAAAAACATGTTGTGCTGTGTGTCAGCTCTCTGAAGATTGACTTACTTATGGATTTCTTAAATGAATTCTATGCTCACCCCAGATTGCAGGTATTTTTACAATGCAAAACTCAGTTAAACACTGGTACTTTGCAGATAGCCTTCTGAAATGGCTTTTAATTTGTAAAACTGCATTTGGGAATAGCTGACTGGATTGGGACTCAATAACTGCAGTAAGCAGCAGAGATACAGTATGGATACATTCGTTCTAAATTGAGATAAATGGATTAAACAGATAGAATTACTGTCCTGTTGAATTATACTAGTCCTTTTAGAAACAAATATTTCCATGTAGCTTCCTTTTATTCTATCTCAAAACAGAAAAGAAAAGAAAACTGTTCAAATTATTTTTCCTGTTGTTTTGGGACTGTATCTAAAACTCCTCACAAGTCAAAGAGTCTTTTGGTCTGGGCATGTTGTTTCATTTTTCACCAAAGTTTTGAAGATTAGATGCTCTGCAGTTAAGACGTAGATATACATTAAATGTCAAAGACCTAGATAGATTTTATACAAGAGAAGATTTTCTCAGTGTGCATATGCCCTAACTCTCTTAATGCAAAAGGATGTCACGAGTGGGTCCATACTCGGATCTGATCATATAAAACTTTTTATATTAATTAGTGATTTAGATTCAATATTGTTAGCTTTGCTATAGAACATTTCTTTTACTACGTTTTCTATTTCTATGCCTTTTACTAAGTTACCTGTGGTACCTTACCTCATTAAATAGTGCAAAAAATCCCCAAACAAACTCCTCAAGGGGCTGAGCGGTAGTTTGAAAAATCCCAAATCCAAAATATTCCCTAAATTAATTAGCTAGTAAGAGGCGTAAGCCAATGTACAACAAAATCCAATTTTTTATAGATGTATACAGAAACTGAAGTCCAAAATTTAGTAACTAGCCCAAATAATGAGTCGGTCTCTAAAATGCACTGGAGAAAAAGAAAAAAAAAGGTCCTAATACTATTAATGTAGCCTAAAAGAGCTAATATATGTTCCCTTTACAGTCAGAATGGGAAGCTGGAGGGTACAGATGATGCACTCGATCCAGTGTACTGTTTTCTGAAAGTGTCTGAGTGTCTGTATACACAGTCCCTCTTTTTTATATATAAACACACGTATACCTCAGAATAACATTACTTTTTCTGCACAGAGACTGTAGCAGAGGAAACAGGGTTTGTATCTGCCTGTTAATACAGAGGAAAAATTAGGCAGGTAATAAAGAGGTGGGGAAGATAATTTCGTTTGGATTGTGGAAAACTTCTTATACTTTCCAGCTAGAATGACAGAAATGTGAATTGTGTTTTAAAAAATTATGTTCATATGGAAACATCAGAATTGTCCAAAAAAATATTTCTAACTGTACTTTAATGGCCACCTTGAAATCTTTTGTAAGTAGTGGACAACTCTTCAGCCATTTTTATTAAAGAAGAATTCAATATTTTAAACACCTATATTCAAATAGCTTTTGTCAATGAAATTCGAGAATTACCGCAGATGTTTCTGACATTCTGAGTCTCTGATGACTTATCCTCCAGCAACAACAGACGGTAACATCAAATAATAACGTGCCTATTCCCCCTTATGTTTCGACAGGACTATTATGTCGTTATTTTGTGTCCTACTGAGATGGATGCTCAGGTCCGAAGGGTGTTACAGATCCCAATGTGGTCCCAAAGAGTTATCTATCTACAAGGCTCAGCACTAAAAGATCAAGACCTGTTGAGAGCAAAGTAGGCAAATATTGACGAATACGTGTTTTTTACTTTTGTTTCACATTGTCCTGTTTAGTAAGTTGGACAGACAACAGAAGCTTTGTTAGAAGGAAAGCATGTGTATTTAGAAAGCAAAGATCTCTGATATAATCTGTTTTTCCTAACATCTGAAAATTTTCTAGAGATAAATATTTGTAATTTGACCAAGTTTTTCTTCACTGTCTTGCTATCTCAATTTTTAAAGGTATTAAAACAGAGCGCATATAGAAAACCCAATTTCTTCTGAAAAAAAGCAGAACAGAAAATTACAAAACTGCCAGCAATGCTAGAATTTGTTTCTGTTCCTTGAGCAAAAATGGTAAAGGTCAAGGGTAGTTCTCCTGACCACATGAAAGGAAAAAAAGGAAACAAATTAACGATCACTCTTTGAACTCATCTCAGAGTCTTGTTTCCTAATGCAGTCCAGACTGACATTGCAAGCAACTACTCCACTGTGCCACCATATTCTCCTCCTTCGGGACCTTCCTCTTACCACACACACACTTCCACCACTTCTAAAAAGTCTTGTCAGTTAATATCCAATGACATTAATCAAAACACATCACTCAAACATATTTCCTCAAAAAAACCCCAACACCATTGCTCAATCGCTTGAAGGTGGGAAGGAATTCACAGTGGAATTCATGTAGGAGGATCGTCTCTTCAAACTCTCCAAAGAGAGATGAAGGTGATTCTTAGCAAATAACTGATTTAGGTAATCTGCAATGCTCTTTATAAGAGCTTCACTGTCTTCACTTAAATTAAGTGACTAATACAGATATCTAAAATTAAGGCAGTACCTGCCTGAGAATTTGTGACAGTCAGCCTTCCCAGTGGAATTGTTTCCAGGAATCACATCAATCTGAGGAGTCATGAGCAGTTTTTTTTCCCCAGATTTCTGCCACTGAAAATACAGCTACTGCTGTATCTGTTTAAAATTTGAAAATGCAATACAGCTTTGTTCAAGATTAGGATTTCTTTTTAAAAAGAAAGTTGTAGGAGGGTTTCCATTTTTGATTTCCTGCTGCTTTTAA